TTGCGTGGAAGACGTTCGTGGCAAACGCGTCACCCAATTCGCGTCATTCGCGACGCCCGGCGCGAATGATGCGTCTATTCGTGTCTTTGCATTGACTTTGTATGTAATCTACTCGCGCAAATTATTAAATTCGCGTTCGGTGTGAACACACCATTAATGCATAGCTGATAATTTAATACATTAATACATGCCAACGTCATGGTCATATTTCGAAAAACACAATAAATAGCCTACTCTGACTACTATAAACACTTGAAACTTGATAGCGATGGAAGCACACTCGCTTAATAATTAAAAAATACTCTAGTGCAAAGTCACTCATTTCATACATTAACTTGTAGACTATATAGGTGTTCGTAACACGTTTCTAATTGTTGATGCAAAATTCGTAGCAATTCTGAAATTCAGTTTAAAAGTTAGTTTCTTGACCAAAAATGCAATAAACGATTGAGTGTACCTTAAGTTAAAAAAAGTTAAGCTTACCTCTTTTCAGCGTCTTCACATATGTGCTTCACAAAATGGCTCCAATTTTTGGCTGGAAAGGCATCACGGGAAATTGCATATCACGTGGCTCGTATAGTAACTTAAAATGTTATGCTCGATTTACTTAATTTTGAAGCAATTATTATAGTAGTTGACATGACTAATGTTTTTTCATTTTATTTATGCATACATTTAAGTTCACCTAGTTACTTATATTTTTGTGTTACACACACTAAATATGTTAAGTAGAGGTTGAAAAGTTATGAATACTTAATTTTTTGTGTTTAATCTAATTACTTTTGTAAGTAATGGTTGTTCAGCCAACGAATCGTTTTTTAGAGTGTAGTTGGTTGGTAGTTGTCACAGATGGTTACTATGGAGTTTTTACATAGTTCTTAAAATCTTTAGTAACGAGTGCCTTCAGGACGGCAAACCAATCTAGTACCGATCGCAAAGCTTAAAATAGTCGACTCAGCTGGGAAATGATGATGTCAAGGCAAGCATTAAAAACATTTATTAAGTAACTCTCAGCATCAGCCAAACGCTCATCCTGGCAGAATTCATCGAAATGGCGCTTTGCCCTTTTAATTCTTTCCTTTTCAAAGCATCCTTCGCCTGTAGCGTTTTTGAAATGACATTGATCTGTTCCAAGACTTCACTTTGAAGAACTATGATAAAAACAAAGTCAAATCTTTCCATCAGCTTTATCAAAGCCGTTTGCGCTCATCTGCCTTTTTACTGGTAAGTGAAATGTTGCTCAGGGCCTTCAACACGTCTGTATATCTGTGTCTGACTGCAGACACGATCACTGCACGATGTCCACCTGTAGCGCACAGTTCTTCAGCGTGACACCCGGAGTGGGTTTTACAGTAATCTCAACCAATACACTCCACCTCTTTATACTGTGCGCAAAAAACACGTACAATTTCTCCATGGTGTTGTAAAACTGTGTCAGCTCTGTTATCGACTGAATCACTGAGGGCCAGATGTAAGTTATGGACAGCACAGTGTACATAAGTGGCATTTGGGGTAACACTTTATAATAACTGCACGCTATCAATCATTAGTTAAGCATTAGTAAACAGTTAATTCATCATTTATAAAGCATTAACAGACATTAATACGCAGTTTATAAATACAGCTATAAATGCTTTATTCTTGTAAATTCTTGTAAATGTATGCATGTAAATTATATATAGTGTGTTTAATAATTTTATTTTCATACTTTATTAATGATCAATTTATCATTTCTAAATGAAGTATTGCATTATTTATAAACCAGTTATTTAAGAGTTTTCAGTGGTTCATAAGATTACTTAGAACGTGTAAGTAAATGATTAATAAACTATTTAAATGTACATTCATACATCTTATTATACAGACATATAGTAATAGTTACTTAGTGTGTTAATAAATGCTTTATTAACATGTATTTATACTGTAATTCAGGGTTAATTTGGGTAGTTATAAAGCATTTAGTAGTGGTCAGTTAACTATGTTTGTGAGCTCATCTAAAGTGAGGACTATTCATGCCTTGTAAAGCATTTATAAAGGAGATTTAAAGGCTCAGTTATATATTTCTATGTTCTGTATCACTGTGTTGTGTTTGTTTCATTTTTCTGTTTAGAAGATAAAGAGTCTTTAAATCTCCTTTATAAATGCTTTACAAGGCATGAATAGTCCTCAATTTAGATGAGCTCACAAACATAGTTAACTGACCACTACTAAATGCTTTATAACTACCTGTATTTACTACTTACACTTTCTAAGTGATCTTATGAACCACTGATGACTCTTAAATAACTGGTTTGTAAATAATGCTATACTTCATTTAGAAATTATTAATTAATCATTAACAAAGTATGAAAATACAATTATTAAACACATTGTAGATATGCTTATAAATCAAGAAAAAAGCATTTAAAGCTGTATTTACAAACTGCTTATTAATGTCTATTAATGCTTTATAAATGATGAATTAACTGTTTACTCATGCTTACTTAATGATTAATAGCGTGCAGTTATTATAAAGTGTTATCGCATTTGGTTGTCTCTCCTGTATCCTTGCCTGAGCTCCCGTGTTTATGACACTCATGTCCGCAGCCCCATCCAATCCTTGGCCACGGCATTTTGAAATATCCAGACCTTTTTCCTCAACCGAACGTATAACTTCATTGGCTATTGTGCCAGCGGACGAGTCAGGCATTTGCTGGAATCCCAGAAAAGACTCGTTGATCTTCACAGCCATTGCAGAACCCTGGCTCTCTCTCTCTCTATGGTTACACACCGAAAGATTCGACTCATCTGATCCACTTTAGAAACATCTGGAGTCGTATCCATGATCACTGAGAAAAACGGCGCGGCCTTAATTTCACTGATAATGTGTTTCTGGACGGACTCAGAGAGAATACCAATCAGTTGATTTTGTATTTCTGGGCTGAGATGTTTAACAGAAGCAGCAGGGCGACTGAGCATCTCCTTCAAATATGGATCACACTGAGCCAGTCGGTCGACGATGGACAGAAAATTACCTTTGTTGACACTTTCAGTGTCTTCAAGGGTCCCCGAAATGCAAGGTTGTTTGATGCCAGAGTTAAAGTGACATTAATGATCCGGTCTAGAACCTGCCTCCAGACATTAACTTGTTGACGGATTTGCTGTTGTGACGCCTCGTGGATAGTGCCATGCAGACGCCACTGATCATACACACTGCAAGCCGCTACATGGCACTCTGCGCCTTCAGGCTTGGACAGTTTGATTTGACAGGGTCTGCCATGTTCTTATTCCTTGTGTCCATGTTGTAGCTTTTGTGACTGCGGTCTGCAAATAACCAGCATGGTTCAGAATATGCAGCGTCAAGCTCAAGCGAGTAACACAGCCAGGATCTCGGTAGCTGAATACCAGCTTTTGTTGTGGTGGAGTAAAAACTCGTGGAATAGCTCCTGTCTCCTTCCAGTGGATCTCGAGGAATGGACCGGGGGTTTGCATGAACCTTGCGACACAATATGCTTGACTTGCTCATCTGTTAGTGTGTCTGTGTCCTTTATCTGTTAGTGTGTCTGGATAGTGTCCTTTATCTGTTAGTGTGTCTGGATAGTGTCCTTTATCTGTTAGTGTGTCTGGATAGTGTCCTTTATCTGTTAGTGTGTCTGGATAGTGTCCTTTATCTGTTAGTGTGTCTGGATAGTGTCCTTTATCTGTTAGTGTGTCTGGATAGTGTCCTTTATCTGTTAGTGTGTCTGGATAGTGTCCTTTATCTGTTGGGTAACCCGCTGACATATCTCCTGCCGAATATCCAGCTTTTGGCTCGTCTGCGACTGCTTCTTCACTCCCGGACTCTTGGCACCTCATCAAGCTGTCAGCGGCTGCATTGTTGTTCTCATCCAAAGACGTGCAACTGCTAATATTAGCTGACTAAACTTCACTCTCACCTTCCACACCGGTGTCATTCGCACTAGGTCGGCACAAAAAACTGTCTATTTTGGGTAGTTTCTGCGTCGCGACTAACTTCACCTTCTTTTTTCTCTTTAAGGCCCCACTTTTATGTTGGTATTTTTCTATCCTTTAATGTTGAATTAGCTAGCGGCTAGTAACCTCTCTCACACTTGAGAGCGTCGATGCAGCGTCATATAAAAAATGACGGCGCAGGTCTACGGCAGCCGCGGGGTGCAAACAATAATAAACGCACACAAGAAATGACGGAGAAAATAGACATTGTGGAGAAACAAGAAATTACTACAGATGACATGAATACAAAAATACATTGTGGCTACAAATTAAAAATGAATTACCTCATTTTAATTAAAAGTTCCCCATGGGCGGCCCCTATCGACCCATTCAACGCAGATCATGATAAATCTCCTGTAGACATGGATCTAGTAAACTTGGGTACGACGTGTGTGTAGACTGTACGATGATGAACACAGGCTACGAAACAAGTTAGTAATGAAGAATAACCGTCATCAGTGTGTGTTAGTGGAACAAACAGAGCAAGATGAACCACACTTTGGCAATTGTGTTTTTTTTATGTGCGCTGAAAAAGAGGAGGAAGCGAAAGAAGAGAATATGGACGTGGTCATAGCTAGAAAGAGGACAACTTGGCATGACAATTCAGCAAACGGAGCTTGAGGAAAGTAGTTTTAAGTGTTAGAGCCAGGTGGCGCCATTTCATGTTGCATTTGTATTGTCTAGTCAGTAGATGAAGGTCGTAGCAGAAACACACTGTGAGATGATCATGCTGGATTTATGACACTGACAGAACATTATCACAGGATATTTCTGATGGAAGACCGTGAGAACGGCCGTCTTCTCACTTCTCTCATCTACTGACTAGACCAGTGTTTCTCAACCCTGTTCCTGGAGGCACACCAACACTTTCCAACTCTTCCTAATCGATCACACCTGAATCAACTCATCAGCTCGTTAGTAGAGTCTCCAAGACCAGAAATATATGGGTCAGAAAAGGGAGCCATCCAAAATGTGCACTGTGTGCCTCAAGGAGCAGGGTTGGGAAACACTTAGTCTCAGCCTCAGACGTCACGCCCACGGAACGTTGGCTAAACGTCTGATGCATATGGTACACTTAACTGGAAACACTTCAGGAATGTCGAAGTCGTCATCTGATTGGTTGAATTTTATCGGATTTCCGGGGGGCGCGAGTGTCGCGTTTGTTTTCGGTCCGCCGGGAAACAGCGCAGACGTGTGATTGCGGAAGAAAAACTGTTGTGTTTACATGAGTGACAATGAGCATTTATCAAGATCAGCTGAACGTAGGATTCTCAAAAGTATGCGAGGTTCACGGCATAGACTCTTTAAGAGATGTCCAGGAGTTTTGTTTGAGGCACTTAGTGGAGACAAAAAGAGATATTTTAGCCTGTTTGCCGACGGGATTTGGGAAGAGTATTATTTTCCAAGCCTGGCCGACCCTTTGTCAGCATTTAGAAGGATTCCCAGCAGATCCAATTTTACTAGTTGTGTGTCCCCTCCTATCTATTATGGAAGATCAAGTGAAGTACCTAACTGCGAAGGGGATATCAGCCGCGTTTGCGGGCAAAAATGAAACAACAGACGCGGACATCGCAGCTGGTCGATTCAGTATTGTGTTCGGTTCTCCAGAATTGCTTGTGGGTGTTAAAAAGTGGAGAGATATGCTTCAAACAGATGTTTACCGCGAGCGTCTCATCGGTATGGCTGTTGATGAAGTGCACACCATTGTTCAATGGTAAGTAACGTTAATGGTATTCTTTATTTAAATCCTATTTTGTTGTAGTGGAAATGTGTGCATACTTAAACAAAACCCCTCTCGATTACTGTTGTCATTACATTTGTAGCTACTTGTAAACTTTGTCAGTTATTTATTTTTGGCATCCATTCAACTACAGCTGTATTACATAGAATGTCCATTTTATTAATTATATTATATTATATAATGAAATGTCAGTGGTTATGTCATTATTTTATAAAAAATGTACATGACAGATAAATTATAAAAGGAAAACTGCATTGAATAAATACATGTTAATAATGAAATACATTATACTCACAACAACAAATATAATAACATACGTTCTGTGTGTCTGTGTTGCAGGGGGGAACGCCATGGCAGTGATGCTCCATTCAGAAAGTGGTGTGGTTTGGTTGGTGAGCTCAGATCACTCCTGCCTATCTCCTTACCAGTGCTGGCCCTAACTGCTACAGCATCTTTGACAACACGCAAGAAAATAATGAAGCTCTTAGGACTACAGAAGTGCTTAGAAGTTGTCAGAAGCCCTGATCGGAGCAACATCAGACTTGCAGTTAAAAAAGTGTCTTCTGATGTAACTAATACATTTTCTTGGCTTATCAACGAACTCATGGTAAAGGGCCCACAGACTGCACGTACTGTCATTTACTGCAAATCTATATCTGACTGTTCAATGCTGTTCCATGATGTGTTCCTTGCCTCCCTTGGACAAAGATCAGTTCACCCACCTGGCACTAGCAATGTGTCATCTAACAGAGTTGTTGACATGTTTCATTCAATGACATCAGACAGTGTCAAAAACAACATAATTCAGACTCTCAGAGACCCTCAGTCTGTCCTCAGAGTGGTGATAGCAACGTCAGCTTTGGGCATGGGAGTTGATTTGAAAAATGTACAACACGTAGTTCAGTATGGGCCACCAAAAGACATCGAATCATACATGCAAGCATTTGGGAGAGCAGGGAGAGATGGCTCTATGTCCCATTCCCTCATTCTTTACCATGGAAAGCAGCTTATAGGCATTTCAGAGAAAATGCGTGAGTATGTCAGTAATGTCGCTTCTTGCAGAAGAACACAACTAATGAACTTGTTTGATGGGGAGGTTGTACAGCCACTTGCAGTAAGCATGCTTGTTGTGACAATTGTGCGAAAATGTGTCAGTGCAAGGAAATTTGTGATGGTAATGCCAGTGACCTGGAACTTCATGCTGCAAAGCCAATTGCACACAAAGTGAGAACTGTCAGCAATCATCAAAGGGAATCTCTCCGTCAGATGTTGATGGACAGGCTTGAGGGAGACGTGGATAATGGACTATGTGGAAAGATTTCAGTTTACCACACATTGCAGGAACACTTCTCAACGAAAGACCCAATGATTAATGAGACACTACAGTCATGTGAGACACTGTTTTGCATTGATGACATAATTTGCCAAGTTCATGTGTACGATTTCAATCATGCCAAGATCATTCTTGAAACTGTGATGGAGGTTTTTGGAGACTGTGAATCAGACATGGACAGTAACAGTTTTGATGACAGTGTCAATGTCTTTGAATTTGATGCGATGTCATTACATGACTGAATTAAGTCTCAGTTATATGGCACATGTAAGAGACATTTGATTTCTTTAATGTTTATGTAAATATGTACTGCTTTATTTCATAACTGAATGTGTTGTGCTACTTGTAATTGTCCACATGCTTTTTTTTGGTCAAAGTACAAACAATAAATATTCTTTGAATTACTGCATGTGTTGTTGAGAAAATGTCTTCAAGCATGAAACTGCACTACATTAATAGTTCAATATAAAAGTAAAGCTTAAAACATCAGTGTATATAAACATCTTTAATAAAATTCTGGACAAGTTATATATTTGTGTATAAGTATTTATTACTTGTAAACATATCAATCAGAATTGCAATTGACATGTATTTGTATCATAAGTTAAGATTCAGCAACTTAAAAAAACAAACAAAAAGTATTTACAGTTTTTACAATACAATTGCTTTTTGTTTACAGTTCTTTTTTTTCTGTTTTTTCTTTGCTGTACATGTACAGCATGCTGCTCTTTACTCTTAAAGGGGTCATATAATGGTACATGCACTTTTTTAAGTTGATTGTACTGAAATGTGTGTTGGCAGTGCCTGTACACAACCATCATATAATGATAAAAATCCATCCAGTGTTTTTGTTTTAATCTCCTTATATGTTTTCCCCTGCCTCAAATCGAGCCGTTCGTTTTTGTGACGTCAATAAAACGGACGCCCCTCCCACGATTGTTGATTGACAGGAGTCAGCACAGGAGTTTCAACACAGACCCGCCCTCGCACATGAGGTAGCTGTCAATCATAGTCTGCGCGGATCGGCGTGGTCATTGTTGATATGCTGGAGCACTGTCTATGAGCAGAATGGCGTCTAAGCGATTGTGGTGTTCTGTTCTTGGGTGTAATAACGAACACAGTCATTTTAATGTTCCTAAATCCGAACCGCTGAAGACGCAGTGGCTGAGTTTGTTTTCGAAGGGAATATTCCCCACGATCAACGTCAATGCTCTCATGTTTGCGCGAATCATTTCTCAGCAGACTGCTTTATAAACGAGGGTCAGTATGAGCTGGTTTTGCTGAGAAGCTGCACCTGAATAAAGGATCGGAACCTATTCGTGTTCCTGCTGAACCTTCAGAAGAACTAAAGTGAGTGTAACGTTTTATTAATCTTTATATTAATATTTATATAATCTTTGCAAATCGCTAGCTGCACGCTTCATGATGAATGCGTCGGTTTACACTCAGGGTACATTACGGCATGTTTTCTATGTACAACGTTCTCAATATAATTCATAACCCCACGTTTATAATGAACAACGCGTGGTTATTGTGTTATTGTGTTACAAACGGTGTATGCACAGAACAGAGAGGCGGGGTGAGCAAAGCTCATTATCATTTAAAGTCATATGCACTGAAACGGCGTGCTGAAAACAGAGCTGTTTTTGACCAGGTAAAATAAGTGTTTTCTTACAATACTAATGAGAATTTTTAATTAAAGTATATTACAAACTTTTAATTTAGACCCTAAAGAATCATATTAGCTTGTACAAAAATGGCATTATATGACCCCTTTAAAGTAGCCAGGAGCTAAACTGCCCACTCAAAGAAATTAAAATGCAAAAACACAAACCAAAAAAATTCTATGTGACCAGATCCAAAGTCTAGGTAACCTTTAATTGCTCTTAACATGATGTCTACATGTTCTAGGTCAGGATGTTTTTTTTTGATCAATTGAAAGCGATTACATTTTCTCATGTGTTCCCATATCCAGCCAGTCAAATGTTTGGACGTGAGATTGTGAAGTGGATTCCCATTAAATGCTGGGAATGCAGCATAACATCTACCAGGTTTGATTTTGTAGATTTCTTGTTGTTTTAGTACAGCGACCATTGCATCGATGTCTTCTTCCTTGGATGCCATTGTGTGTTTCCCAGACTCTGGACTTAGTTGAACATCAGCATCAAAGTTATCCATTAACTGTCTCTGCCTTTGAAGTGTTCTACTGATTTGCTGCGCAGTTTGAAAATTCACATTCGCACCCAAATGTGAGATGGCATCCTTTGTGTAACGAACATAATGCTCGCAATTCAGATCCAATGCCACATTTTTGCCAGCACCCCCAGTAACATTTACAGTTCTGTTCCACATCATTCTGTGGGCCACTCGTGGACTCTGCATTGCTTGAATGTCAAATTGTAATTTCAGTGCCTCCAAGCTGTACTTGTGTCTCTGGGCGTCTTTAAAATGAAGCATTTTAAATTTCCAAAGGCGGCAGGTCCTTTTTCCATCACCCTCTCTCACAGAGTCTAGGAAGTCACGCTCCAAAAGCCCCATCTTTAGAAAGGCACTGTGATAATTGAAAACACAATCTTCTTCTTGGTGCTGTTCTACAGCACTGGCACCATTTTTGTCTTTGTGATCACACACAGAAATGCCATGGTCCTTCTTGAAATGTTCTGTTAGATCATGTTGTCTTTTAAAAGGTGGATGGCTGCACCGTGGCATGTGACACACAATTGGTTGAGGTACAACTGTACTCTGTGGAGGACTCTGGAGATTTCCTTTCAACATGTTATGAAATTCTGGAGATTCATTGAGAATGTATGTGTCAACAATGTTTAGGATTTGTTCATCAAACCAATCTTGCTTCTCCTCATTTGACAGAAAAGAGGTCGGCATGGATACTGGCATGTCATCCTGTGTGTGTAAAGAGAAATGATGGAGAACAACGGCAATGATCGATGCGTCCAGCACATCTTGAATGAAAGTGTTGCATGGCCTATAGTTATCCCCCAAGGCTGATTTAGTCACATTGGTCCTGTGAACAACATTTCTCAGGTGGAAAAAAGAACCAAAATCACACTGTGAACTGGGACTGTAGAATCTTTTAAAAATCACATCATTGAAGTTCATGGAACAATGAAAATCCGCAATAACTGGAACAAGTCCTTCCAATCTTTCAAATGATGAGTCTTCATTTGCTTTAGCTCTGATGGCTGCATCAGCATTCTGCTTGGTCAGTTGATCACCAGCCAAAATCACATGTACTACAGGCTTTGAGATGTTGTTTCCATTTTCTAGATCAGAAGTGTAAGGAACATATCGCTGATTGATGTACTGCACTGCTTTCACCATATCTGCAGAAACCTTCTCATCCACCTCAAGAAGTCCCAGAGGAGTGATTTCAGTTTTTTGGGCCATAACGTCACTGTACATATGAGGAATGTGCCACAGTAAAACGTTTGAAAACTGCTTGAATGCGGTGAAACGCTGAACCACTACACGACCCACCAGTTCTTTAAATTCAGAGCGAAGCATCTGTCTGTCCTCCAAGTTTGGTAAAAGTTCCGACAGTGGCACATCCATTATAGACACAAATCTCTCTCTGGGTAAGAACTCAGCAGTCACTCGTTCATGGTTCCCCACCATTAGCAACCAATGGTAGTCCAGACGTTGGTGGCTGATGGTCATTGTATGTGGTGTCACTGTGAGATCCAAATTATCAATTGTGATCTGCACTGGTGCTCTTGGTGTGTGTTTCTGTGAGAGAAAGTGAAAACAAATTAAAGTTAGAATGCAAAAATGTTCCTTTAATTGTTACATTAATTTGGTTATACATTTTTAAAATATAATTTCATGGTCTACTAAACAGCATTAAATTAAGATTACAACATAAAATTAACTTTAACTTAACACAGGTGAGACAAAACACTATGTCAACCTTCATTATATGGTTTCAATTACATAATGCCATTTAAAAAAAAAAATGACTTCAGTGTTTTGGGCCAGTGATGTGACTGTTTATCCCAGACTAGATGCATTTATTGTCTATTCACTGTGTACAGACATTCGGTGTAAAATACAATCTCTCACCTGACACTCCAGCGGAACAGCAGTTGGTGACGACCCATTTGTGTAGCCTGATTCAGTTCTTCTAGAAGCGGTTGTGTCATGATCTGTGTGGTCCTATGAAGTGCAAAACAGAGATAAGTAACATTACCACAGTTAATAGCTAGTGTAGATTTCTATACATGACATGTCATGATATTTAATAAGGTGAAAAAAATAGCTCTTTGATATTACAATTAAATAACATAAATAAATATTTTTTATGTCGTACTGACATAATTGCATTAAGTCAGTACGACATAAAATAATAATTACTAATCAATATATAAAATATTACAACAAATATTACAAACCTCTTCACTATCACTGCTGGTGACAATGAAGACTTCTTCCACTTCATTCTCTTCACGGGGGTATGTATGATCAGACAGGAACCAAGAGCTACAACCTGGATCATCAGTCCATGACAAGTCTTCAAGGCTTGGGCTGTCACACACTATTTTTTTCCATTCTAGAATTCCGGCATCCCATGTCTCTGCAATCTCCTTGATCTTCTTTAGAGTTGCTGAGTGATTCACACAAACTCCAATCCCGTTGAATCTATCGATGCATCTTTTCTTTGCACCACCATGTTTCAATACCATGGAATTTCGGAACATAGGAGATGCCATGAATCTTGACCTTGCTTTAAGAAGTATCAGGCCAGCCATGGTCACCTCTGGCTTCTTTCTGGTCCACGGTCTTCTTTTATGAACACTTGCAGCTTTTGTGTTACGCTTTGTCACACTGTTTGCTGCACTTGCACATTTTAGGAACTGGAGAAATGTAGGTGCTGCAGTCCTCCATTCATCCAACACTTTCTCACACCTAAACTCAGCAAGATGTGCACTGTGTTGTATTACAGAATGGAACTTGTTGCTTGTTAAATGTCGGCATTCTTTCTCAACTTGCTTGAGGACTACATCAATGACCAACTTGGACTGGCCAGGAATTTTTATTAAATTCTTGGCCAAAGCATTGTAGCGTCCCCTTGTAATATTATTAACAAGTGTCCTCATAGGTCTCTTTACATGCCTCTTCAGCATTTTCTGTGATGACTTAAACATATGGACAGTTTGACTACCAACAGTATCCTGTACAGATGTTGACGCATTGTTTACCTCTGGTGACGGTAGATCGAACAATTCACGTCTCGCAGGGCTGCATTCAGAAATT